GTGAAAATTATCCTCAGTCATTGCTGTTTGCCTGCAAATGAACAGGTAGAGTTAGAAGATACGCCAGCTAGCAGGCAACTCTTTAGTAAAACTGTTGTAATCCCATTAGGAAGGGTTGCATGGATGCTTCCAGGGACATCAACAGTGAGTGCAGTTTCTGCAAAGATGGAGTAAGAAGGGTTAACTGTCCCTCCTTAACATGTCTGTCTGTCTCTCTTTTTGCACATGCTAGCTGAAACAAATATATTTAAACTGATATTTTTCTAATATTACTCTTTTTCAGCTATTGATCTCATAAATAATTTGTTGCAAGTGAAAATGCGAAAGCGCTACAGTGTGGACAAAACATTAAGCCACCCGTGGTTACAGGTATTGCTACAAATCCCATATTTTTCTTATGCATTTAGGCTCTAAGTATATAACAAATGTATATAACAAATTTTAAGCTTTAAGCACAGTAGAAGTTAAGCAAATCTACAAACCTGAAGAAGGTCCTGAGAACCTCATACTCCTTCACCAATTTACCTACAGCTTCTCATTAATTTCTGAAATGTTAGATTCCAATACTAAAGTCTCTCACATTTTCAAAATACACTACAAAAATATTTTATCTCATTTAATAAAATTAACTTACCAAACAATCATCTAGAGATAAGCCTATCTCTATAGGCATTTTTCACATTTACTAATGATACGATTTTTTCAGTCTGCAGCAATAGGGATGCGTGACAATTAGATTGCCAAGTTAATTGCACTTTGCAAATTATTGGTAGTAATGGGGAATGTCATTCATTTCAGGAAATTCAAAACGAATACTGTTATTCTGTTTCAGGACTATCAAACCTGGTTAGATTTAAGGGAACTTGAATGTAAAATGGGGGAACGCTACATCACTCATGAAAGTGATGACTCCCGATGGGAGCTGTATTCAGAAGAGCATGGATTGCAGTATCCAGCACACCTTATCAGCCCAAGTGCTAACCATCATGAAAACACCAAGCTAGAAGAAACAGAAATGAAAGCCCTCAGTGAGCGTGTCAGCATCCTTTAAGTTACATCCCCTATAATCTGTCAAAACACTGTGGAATTAATAAATACATACGGTCAAGTTTAACGTTTGCCTTGCAGAACTGCCATTATTTTCTATCAGATGGGAACAAAGCTGTTATGCTGTTACACTGTTGATGTATCTGAGCTGCCAAGACAAATCAACAGAAACATTTTTGTGTGACCAACTGTGTTGTATTTACAAAAGTTCCCAGAAACACTAAACTTGTTATTGTGAATGATTCATGTTGTATTTAGTGTATTAAAACCTGTCTCCACGGTGCCTTTGCAAACTAGTGTTTTTCTTACTTGATCCTCATTTTGGTAAGAGAGAACTTTCCCATGAAGATCTGGGTGGCTTTTGTGCATCGTTAGTATTGTAATTGTAAGCAAACTCTTGAAGAGTAGATTATAACTGCTGTTCTGTGAACAACTTCTACCACTTGGATAAAAGCTTTATTTAGTGTCAAAAAAAAAAATAGTAAAGACAAAAAATTAGTTGCATAGCACTGTACAGTTTTAAATCGGATACCCTGTGTGTGGTTGCATGTATGGATACACACACACAGTATAACTTGCTCTTAAGCCTAAATGCCTTAGTAATGTAAACTGCAGCATATATTGGTTGTATTTCCCCTTTTCTTAAAATATTCTTATGTAATATGAATATTCTCTACTATGTACATTCAGAAAATAAATAACTTGTTGACTTTGTGTATGTTTTCAATAAAAGTCTTGTTAAAATAGGTCTATATGATTAATCTTTCTATTTAAAATATCCCTGAAATGCCTTCGGAAGTAGGTGGGGAAGTTGAGGACACATTAATGGAAATCTAGTTTTAGAGAACTGTGCTGCTTCTGCTTTTCCACAGAGTTCCATTGAACTGATAAGGTAATAAGGATCTCTCCTGCTGTCATTCCTCTGAAAACTTTAAAGATGTTAATTTTAATTTCTAACAATTATATACTTTTCCAACACTAACCCATTCAACTTTAACTGTGAGAGAGGTTCAGGCTGCACTGTAAAACGTGTGCCAGAGTAACTCAGTGGCAGGCTAAGAATTATTCTGTGCCACAGGCTTGCTCTATAAAAAACAGGTGATATGCAGATATTGAAGACTGAGGTTAAAAGGGAAAAGATATATGGGATGAGAGGCAGAAGTATTCAATGACACGAGATAGTAACCACATATGACAAACATCTACTGATCAAAGCTTAGCTTTGTATTACAATCATAAGCTTTCCAGTACATAAATCCATTCTTTCCTTGAAGATCTTTTTCCAGAGGAATTTATGCCATATACATAGCACAGTCAAAGCCAGCAGAATTTCTTAGGTATTTTGCACATCTACTGCACAGACAGTGTGTAGTGTAGAAGAAATGAAGAAGACGCATTTTTATTTGAACAGAAAAAAAACCCATATGTTTTATAGAAAATTAAGAAGCATTGTGAAAATTCTTCTCCCTCTTCCCTGCCTCTTACCCCTACTCCCACTGCCAAAAAGCATTCCACTTCAGCTGGACCCTGAAGGAAGCTCTCTGATAAGACTGTCCGTATAACATGTTCTGAAACGGGTCTGACTGGGCAGAGTTTGTGTGTGTTGACTATTCTGCCATGCCATAATGTCTGTCTTTTCAGGCAGGGCATTTCTACATTCCTAATAATCAAAAATACTCAGGGTGATTATCAAATTTCTGTCAGTAAAAGTGTGTGTGTATTCAAAGCAAGTCCACTTAAAGGAGTAGTGGTAGACACATACATGTAAAGATTAATTCTATTCTTAATTACTCCAGGAGTCAACCTGAATTAACTTTTCTAAAAGGAAACTGGTTGAAATTATTAGAGTCATACAGACTTTGTTCAGGTGCTGGTACCATGACTGTTCTTAAGGAGACATGACCTCACAGAAGTGCCTTAATTTTGTCATCTCATTCCTCTATGTTAACCAGTAACAAAGATTTAAAGCTTTGCTTTCATATTGATAAATTTGAGTGAGTCAGAATTTTATTAGTGGGTTGGTACACTAACTGTAAATAAAACCAAGGTATGCAAAGCTAATTTTCAACAACACAAGTTAAATTCTCAAAAGTATCAAATAGCAACTGGCACTCTGCCCTCAAGCATAGACACTAATCAGGAGATCAAAAGAAAATGCAGCTTGCAACAGCATCTCTAAGAAGCTGTTGACAAAACTTGCAGCTGTTGACAGTGCAGCTTTTAATGAAGGAAGGACATCGGGTGCTTACAATAAAACCCCAATATCTGCTGGTTTTTGCCCTAACCATGCTTAGCATGCACAAGGGTTTGCTGAGCACAGACCTATGTTTATAAACATTTAATCTCACAGAGCACATTTGATAAACTGTTTGCCAACAGAGCAGAAACAAAATTAGAAATCAACTACTACTCTGAGAAACTTCCTGACCAACTGCTAAATATAATTTCAAAGGAACTCTTGTTTTATTACTGGGGGCATATTGTACTTTTTTTCTTCCCCATGCCTTGGTTGGGGTTGTTTTTGAGCGTTGAAGCTTGCTTCATCACTTTAAGGAACTTATTGTGCAAATATTCATTGCTTTTCAAAAAAGAATTTGCTGTTAGCCAATACAATAAATTAAAAATTTTCCCTACCACCATTCAAAAGTGTTGCACTGTGAAATTTGAACTCTTTGCAGTTCAGCCAGACAGATGAATTCACTGATTCCTAACTCAAAGCCTAAATGGAAACTTGCTTTTTGAGATATATCAGCCTCAAAGTGTACTGAAGCAAATCTAGGATTGTGTTGCACTGCATGATTTTTCTTTCCTATTTTACTCAGGAAAAGGCAATGGTAGGCTGTTCTGAAGTAATGCTTCCATGGCCTTTAAACTTTCCATTAGGCAAAGAGTTCCTGTGCATGCATCATGGAAACAAAACCACCAGTTATGCTACACATAAATATTGACCTGAGGATCTACTGATGGTATTTCCTTTTCTGCTTTGCTACTGCATATCATGTGCATATCAACTACATGTATACACATAATCATACATCTGTAGACATGATTATTGTCAAAGTTTAGTTGTGGAATGCAGAAAAATAGCGAACATGTACTTGGAAGGTAGAACTTCTAACTTACATTAATTTGTCATTTTTGCTTCTACTGGCTTCTTTATTCATTCAGATACACTTTTTTTATCCAGTGTCTTGTCCAGGCAGTTTAACCAATGCAGCAAACAGGTTAAACTGTTTAAACAGAATAAAAGCCATGTATTGCTCAGCCATGTGAGCTATCCCTCCATACCTTCACATCATAGCATGGAAGGGAATTTCTGTTAGTGGGCCTTGTCTCCCATTGTCTCAGATACGTTAGACCCTGTTCTCAGCTTTGCAGGATGTCTTTATAATAATATTCTGCTTTTCCTTTTTTTTTTTATTCCTCCCTCCTCTTTCCCCTTGACACCTCACCAATGAAAAGCCTTCCTAGTCTCAACTCTCCAGAGGTTAGAAAGCTGTAAATCCTGACCTCTTGGCAAGGCAATAACCATCTGGTTTGGATTTTTTATTTTATTTTTTTTACAGGTTAAATAAACCAAATTATTTTACAATACTGGATAAATCAACACCTTTTATGCACATCTGAATTTATCCTGGACAATGAAGTCACAGATAGGACATGGAAGTTGCTAACAAGCTGAAAAAAGTCCAAGCCCTTACTGGACTAACAGGAACAGATACTTGGCACCTGACATTAAGAAGAAAGGAAAAAAAGCAAACTCCTGAGGAAATTTTAAGAACTAACCACCAGGCAGGTTAATCCCCGTATACTACTTCAGTCCATAAGACATACATAAGGAGAAATATCAGAGTTGCCTGTTGTGGATTATGGTGCAGTATTATTCAGACATGTCTACTGAAATACTGACATTCTAGAAAAGCTCTGCTTCATGCAAATAAATCAGAGCCCAGTCCCTAGAGGTGTTCAGCACCCTGAGGTTTGCTCAACTTCTTGCTTTCCCAGAGATATTTTTTGTTTGTCTGTTTCCAGAAAGATAGGTTATAATTTATTCTAGCAACAAAGGAAGCTATCCACATTCTGCACTGGCCACCATCTGCCTTATGACCAAACCTATGGCATCTGATCAAAAAGTCTCATATTCCTGGGATTTATTGTGCATGTGTCAGATTGGACAAAGCTCAACCAATTAAAATACAAGGCAGAGGAGCTGTCTTGGAAGATCAGGTACTTTTCAATGGTGACAAATTTGACACCTAGATGAGATGCAGAGATTTGCATTGCTTTTTACTGCGCTCATTCCTAGCAATTGGAGCAAGTGAATGCTGAAATCGAGGACTGCTGGATGAGCAAACTTTGGTCTGTGGTTCTTACTGAATCTGCTTCAGTGAAGATCAGGGCGCACACATTATAAGTAATGTAAACTATTTTGCTGCCTTACTAAAGGCGCATCTACAAACTTGAACATCAGCTCTTTACAAACAAGAATTCAAGAAAAAGTCTTTTTTTAGACTGCAAAGTTGCTATTTTGAAAGGTCTCATGAAATGAAATATTTCACTTGGGCATCCAAACATTAGGGTCCTACACCCCAGAGTGTCTGTCTCTGCTCTGACCTTGGAGGGCCAGAGGCCTCATGCTGCAGAAGTCTGACAGTGCCAACTAGGGGAGCTACAAGGAAAACAGGCACCATGAAAACGTGCCTTTAAGGCAGATACCAAAATTTGTAAGTCTGTGTGCTGCCAAAGTTTGACAAAAGTTGGCAGATTCTGTTGAAGCATTTCTAGCCAAACTATTTTCCAATATGAATTTATGACACATTTGCCAACTACAACTTAAATAGTTTCTGATAACAACTTCCAAAATAAATAGTGATATATTGGTGATGACCTCTCGTACTTTTAATGGGGACTGATTTTTCAAGAAACCCTAATAATTACCCTTTGAAAAGCAACTAGTTCATTCTGGTTCCTCTGTTCACTTAGGCATACAAAAACACGAGTTAATTTTGAGCAGTTCAGTCACTAAGTTTAATAAGTGGAAAGTGTACTGACATATTCTTAAGAGAACATAAAAATTGACTTGAGGGACCTGGCTCACATTTCTCAAGTAAACAGTTGCAGCAGTTTAAGATGTTACTGTCTCAGCCCCCAGCTGTTTGATACTGGCCTTATAACAGCAAAAATAGAACATGTCAACTTTTCTAGTCGACACTCAAAAGCATCTAAGCACAATTTTTATCTTAATGCTTATTTGCCCAGTTGCGAATTAGAGCTGTGATGCTCCATTCTGTCAGCTCTGCCATGGGGAAGCATCTGGAGAAGGGGGAGGATGGAGAGTGAAGGTATTACATTACTGTAGCCAGCTTTGCCAGAAGTCACATCAGAGTCCTTAACTGCCTTTCACAAAACTGAATTATGAGCTTGCAAAGCTGAATGTCT